TTAGGGTTAGGCTAAAAGAACAAACCTCCACATGCCACTGCTTGCCCATCGCATTGACAACGCGACCTTCTATTGGTCTCCTGCAGGCTCCACAGATTGGAACACCCATCTTATCATGGCATGGTAAACAATAAAGTTCTCCCTTCAGCTCCCTTGCATCCACTGTCAATTCCTTTCTATGGGGGAAAAAAAAACAGTCGTACCATCGGAAAAAATTCTATCAAATGGTGCTAAGAAATATTCGAATTATGAGAGTGCTCTGTGCTAAGCTTAACCCCAAGATGGAAAGGAGCAGACTCACCCACAGTTGCTGCAGTTGAAGTGGTCTGGATGATAGGGGTCGTTCTTAAAGATCAGCGGCTGCTCCTCAATGATGGCATGACACTTCTGGCAGATGTACTTGCCCAGTCCGCGAGCTTTCTCACGGTTATGACAGGGACGACAAAGGTGCCTGCAGCAGAGGAAATGGGAGTTTCATTGGAGCGGAGATAGAATGCCTGCAGCCTAGGTAAGTCCTTCAAACTTGGAATATTTGTTGAGAAGCGAAAAGAGTGAGTAACCAGGTCGATGAGTGTCTGGCCACAGCTTCAGCTTGCTGCTACAGAGCTATAATTCAGTCTGTAATAAGGTGGAATACTTGCCTCCCAGCATTTTTGACAAATCCCACGTCTGCAAGCACAGCCTGGCAAATGTCACAGCAGAAACACTCTGGGTGCCAACTATTGTTCATTGCCTTAATGACTCGGCCAATGATGAATTCCCCTAAAGAAAAACATAAATAACAACTCTTCTTAAACCTGATAAAGTTTTGTTTTCACATATTTACTGTCACTAGAATATTTTTATCCTGCTGCTCAACAGTAGTTAAAAAAAAACATTTCAGCCTGGAGTCATGAGAGTTGAATGAACTGTGGTAATTTCTATAGTGTTCTCAAAGAGACACTTAAATGTTGAATGCGGTTTAATTGTCCATTTAATTCAATCAGGGCTTGTCTGTCTCTTCCCAAGCACACTTTAACAATATTTAAATTCATCCTATATGGCACTAAAGGGCATGCAGGATGACTTTACAAGTGGTTAGTT